AACCAAGGTGTAAGTGTAGGTTTGGACTTCACAACTGATCGTAGTAATAATAATAATGAACCATACATCCACCCAGTATATTTGTATGATAAAAAAGAATCTGTTTTTAAATCATTTGCACCTCACCCTGCGTGGAATCCATCACACAATCTGACCTATGGCAGCGTCAAAAGTGGCGCCGACGGCACACGACGAACTGCGAGCTCTCCTGCGTCTGGCGGCGCCGGCGTTTGTGTCCACGATCAGCTTCTTTGCACTCACGATGCTGGAAATGATCTTTGCAGGGCACCTCGGCACGGCTGAAATGACCGCCGTCGCATTCTCGCAAATCGTGTTCGACTTCACCATCATCGTGTTTACCCAAGGCTTCAACAAAGGCCTCAACGCACTGGGGTCGCAAGCGTTTGGGGCCAAGAACTTGTTGCTGCTCGGTCGATACGCCCAAATGGGCTGCCTGGGCGTGACCGTCGTGACGTTGCCGTTGGCATTCTCGTGGTGGTTTGTCGGCGATCTCCTGCGCTTGTTCGGCGTGTCTCCCGCCAGTGTCGTCTTGGCCCAACAGTACTCGAAGCTGTCCACGTTGTGGCTGTGGCCGCGCCTGATCTACCAGTATCTGACTGTGTACTTTAACTCGCAGCAGATCGTGTTGCCCACGGCGATCGTGTCGGTGTCGTTCGTGGTTGTGCACGTGGGTATGAATGTGCTGGTGGTGTTTGGTGTGCCGTCGTGGGGATGGGCGGGGTTGGGGTTTGCGGGGTTGCCCATCGTCATGTGCATTACCATGTACGGTCGGCTGGGGGTGTACTTGCTGTACATGATGTGGTACCGCCAGCACCATGCAAAGTCGTGGGTGTGGAACTTGGAGTTTTGTCAAGCCAAGTACATTATCCCCCAGGTTCGCGTGGGGCTTCCATTGGCAGTTGGGCAAGTGTTTGAGAACTCGCAGCTGCAAACGATGGCGCTGTTGGCGTCGTCCATGGGCGAAGTACAACCAACAAATACAGTCAATTCATCGGTCGGGTTTGATTAAGCTGACACCGTGTCCCTAGGTGTCGCTGGACTCGCACAATTCGATGATCGTATTGGTATTCTTTCTCACGAGCCCCATTTACGGTCTGGGATCTGCAGGGGTCATCCGCATTGGCATGTACTTGGGGGCGAACGAGCCCGAGAAGGCCCACCAATTAGCCCGTCTACTTGCGACGTGCATCTGCTGCATCTCAGTGGGCATTGCGACTGTACTCATGATCAATCGGAACGTCGTCGGGCACTTGTACTCGGAAGACCCTCGAGTATGGGCGTCGATGACCAGCATTTGCACGTTGGCTGCGTCTGGATATGTCATCTTGTCGGTGTTTTACTCGTCCATGGTACAGTCAGTCCCCTTCGTCGCCTCCATGATGGAAAGTGCCATGTGAAAACTTATAAATGTTCGTGCGATGCAGGCGGTTTTGGTGGCCCAAGCTAGAGCCGTGCCAATTCTCGGTACACTCGACAGTAAACTGTACCAAGTTGAGCTCAAGTCTATTTGGTAGTGGCGTTTGTCAGTGGCGCGTGGGTGGTGGGGGTGCCAACTGCGTATCTCGTGGGCATCCACTGGCACGTGGGGCTCCTTGGTGTGTGGATTGGCATGTCCATTGGGTATGCAGTCACGACCGCCGTGACTTTATATGGAGCCATCACGGCCAACTGGGAAGCGGAAGCAGATAAAGCTGTGCTTCGTAGCAAAGCCAAGCACGAGCAAATCACCGAAACCACAACGTTGTTGAACGATGAGCCGTAATAATACACATAAACACGCGCAATGGGCAGTCTTGTGGTCGGTGGTAGTGGCTGTGGGTAGTGGTGGCGCGACTTGAGTGAGGCTAGGCTAGTTACTGTACCGATGGATGCTTGAACACCGTTGGTGTTGTAGCCTTCCTGCAGTAGCCCATCCTCTGCAACGAATTGTTGCCTCGACAAGCAAGGTTGCTGTTATGGTAATCATAATGGATTACCAAGGTACTAATTGCACTGTGGTTATCCGATTTCACTGGCGATACTTCAAACTTCAATTTTGAGCGGTATATACAAACATCAGATTGACCTACAAAACTGTGCAGGAGGGAGGGTATGGATAAACTCGAAATAATTAACATCCACGGAGGTTCCCTCGTACATAGCCATTTCCAAACCCTTCCACTCATGGAACCTTCGACCCAATTGACCACAACAGGTGAACTCCAAGCCCTCGTGACCCTCGCCGCCCCCAAATGCATATCCATCCTCAGCTTCTATGCGCTCTCGATACTCGAGCTCATATTTGCAGGGCACCTCGGCACGGCTGAAATGACCGCCGTCGCGTTCTCGCAAATCGTGTTCGACTTCACCATCATCGTGTTTACCCAAGGCTTCAACAAAGGCCTCAACGCACTGGGGTCGCAAGCGTTTGGGGCCAAGAACTTGTTGCTGCTCGGTCGATACGCCCAAATGGGCTGCCTGGGCGTGACCGTCGTGACGTTGCCGTTGGCATTCTCGTGGTGGTTTGTCGGCGATCTCCTGCGCTTGTTCGGCGTGTCTCCCGCCAGTGTCGTCTTGGCCCAACAGTACTCGAAGCTGTCCACGTTGTGGCTGTGGCCGCGCCTGATCTACCAGTACCTGACTGTGTACTTTGACTCGCAGCAGATCGTGTTGCCCACGGCGATCGTGTCGGTGTCGTTCGTGGTTGTGCACGTGGGTATGAATGTGCTGGTGGTGTTTGGTGTGCCGTCGTGGGGATGGGCGGGGTTGGGGTTTGCGGGGTTGCCCATCGTCATGTGCATTACCATGTACGGTCGGCTGGGGGTGTACTTGCTGTACATGATGTGGTACCGCCAGCACCATGCAAAGTCGTGGGTGTGGAACTTGGAGTTTTGTCAAGCCAAGTACATTATCCCCCAGGTTCGCGTGGGGCTTCCATTGGCAGTTGGGCAAGTGTTTGAGAACTCGCAGCTGCAAATGATGGCGTTGATGGCGTCAGTGGTTAGCGAGGTATGGTTTGGGCGTATTGGAGAACCACGTTGAACGATGGTGTGTGTATCGTTAGGTGTCGCTGGACTCGCACAACTCTATGATCATTCTGCTGCTCTTCCTCACGAGTCCCGTCAACGCTCTGTCTGCCGCAGGTGTCATTCGTATGGGAATGTACTTGGGAGGGAACCAACCTCAACGAGCCCAGCGCCTCAGCCAGATGGTCAAGAACTGCATCTTCACCGTGGCTGTCGTGAATTCCAGCATCCTCATGCTGAATCGAGATGCGATCGGTCCAATGTACTCGGATGACCCTGAAATTTGGGATGCCATGACTGAAATTTGCACCCTCGGGGCCCTAGGCTACATGATCACGTCACTGTTCTACTCCGCCAGGGTACGGCTCATCTGGGCAGGTTGTTTGCTGATCCATATCGTAGGCAACGTTGATGGCCCAAGCACGGGCATTCCCTATCATGGGTACTTACATGTACATCGCAAAATGTGTGTGTGTTTGCATCGTTCATGGTGGCTGTTGTGTAGTGGCATACTTCTGTGGCGCATGGCTCGTAGGGATTCCTGCAGCGTACGGTATCGGAATTCTACAGCAAGCTGGTTTGGTTGGCATTTGGATTGGCATGGCGCTGGGCCACATCGCAACAACAACCATTGCGTTGCATGCGTCTGGGAGTTCTGATTGGGGTGACGAAGCGGCTCAAGCTGTGTATCGAAGCAACGAAAAGTCGCAACTAGTCCAGGGCGAGGCCGTAGCTTTACTCGAGCGGCTATAATTTATCAGTGTGCTCTAGGGTTGTTACTAGAGAGATTGGTGGCATCGCACGCACCAAACCGCAACCAACTTTATGTGCTAAAATCCCCAGCGTGGAAGCATGGCACATCTGGCTGACCACCTGACGTACTTAATTGGGATTATATCCATGGACTCGTCCATGTGAGCTTCCCCTTGAACTCAATCAAGCAATCATCAGAACGAACAACTCTTGATGCAACTTGAGCTAGGTCACCTCAATGCACATGATTTCATCACCAATGAACTACCTATTCAAGACGACTGGGCTCCTACGATTAAAGGCCATACGATCCTTGCCTTAACGCCCCACGCCATGACGGTGGTAACTTGAAGTTGAACTACCAATCGAAATTGAGCATTGGGTATAATTATATCCAATGACACACCAGATCAGGTATATTTCGTGAGGCTATGACGTCGAGGCGGATTACTTTCGACAACTGTCAAAACGAACTTTATTACGTAGTACTTAATATTTGTATTGCCTATGGACGCCTTTTAAGTACGCCAATGCTATTGGCAGAACTGATATTCATAATCCCCTAAGTACGAATCTGGCGCACCAATCTTGAACCGCCATTTGCAGATTTGTGTCGCTGAGGAAGGATGATCCGCACTTTGACCTCGCATTCGTCCGTCATTCGCCGCGCGTCCGTGCGCTCGTTTTCGGCCGCTCCCGTAAGGACATCCCTTCAATATGGAGAGGAAGTCATGCTCAACTTGATGTAGGAACGCGTCCCGTTGTTCATCAACGGTGAATTCGTGCAATCCAAGACCACCAAATGGATTGACTTGCGCAACCCGGTACGGGATGCAAACCAGGGCTTGTAGATGGAATGAACGTATGTCTCCACAGGCGACCAACGAAGTGATCTACCAAGTTCCCCAAGCGACCCAAGAAGAAATGCGCTTGGCGACGGCGTCCGCTGCGGAAGCGTTCAAGACGTGGAAGGAAGTGCCCGTGCAACACCGTCAACGAATCATGTTGAAATTGCAAGCGCTTATCCGCGATCACACCGAAGACCTGGCCAAGTCCATCACGTTGGAACAAGGCAAGACGTTGCCCGATGCGCGTGGCGATGTGTTCCGTGGCTTGGGTACGTCCATTTTCATTGTCGTGTTTCGCGCGCAATTTTACCAATTTCGAATGCGCCGTAGAAATCGTCGAATCCACGTGCGGGTTGGGCAACCATTTGATGGGCGAAACGTTGGGCAACTTGGCCAACTCGTTGGACACGTACTCTTACAAGCAACCACTCGGTGTGTGCGCCGGCATTTGCCCGTTCAACTTTCCTGCCATGATTCCTCTGTGGATGTTCCCCGTGGGCATCACGTGCGGTAACACGTACGTCTTGAAGCCTTCCGAGAAGGATCCCGGTGCTTCCATGATCCTTGCGCGTTTGGCCAAGGAAGCGGGGGTGCCCAACGGCGTGCTGAACGTCATCCACGGCGCGCACGACGCAGTCAACTTCATCTGTGACGCGCCTGAAATCCGTGCGATTTCGTTTGTCGGTGGCAACCACGCTGGCGAATACATCCATGCCCGCGGCACGGCCAACGGCAAGCGCGTACAGGCCAACTTGGGCGCCAAGAACCACGCCGTGATCATGCCCGACGCCGACAAGGAGCAAACCGTGAACGCGTTAGCTGGCGCTGCGTTCGGCGCCGCGGGGCAGCGCTGCATGGCGCTGTCTGTGGTGGTGTTTGTGGGCGAGTCCAAGGAGTGGATCCACGACATTGTCGCCAAGGCCAAGACGTTCGCCGTTAACGGCGGGTCCGAGCCCAACACGGACGTAGGCCCGTTGATCACGCCCGAGTCCAAAAAGCGCGTGGAAGACTTGATCCAAGCGGGGATCGACCACGGCGCCGAGTTGCTCCTGGACGGCCGCGGCGTCAAGGTGCCCAAGTACCCCAACGGCAACTTTGTCGGCCCTACCGTCCTTAACAACGTGGACACGGCCAACCCCGCGTACAAGGAAGAGCTGTTCGGCCCCGTGCTGGTCTGCACTAGCGTCGACACGCTGGACGAAGCGCTCAACGTGGTCAACTCGAACCCGTACGGTAACGGCACGTCCATCTTCACGCAAAGCGGCGCCGCGGCCCGCAAGTTTCAACACGAAGTGGATGCCGGCCAAGTGGGCATCAACGTACCGATTCCCGTGCCGCTCCCATTCTTCTCGTTCACAGGCTCGCGCCACTCGATCCGTGGCGACATTCACTTTTACGGCAAGCAAGGTGTCAACTTCTTCACGCAAACCAAGACCATTACCGCGCAATGGGAGTTTGGCAGCAAGACCCAGTACGGCACCGTCATGCCTACGTTGGGCGGTAAGAAGAAGTAAAGCGCGTGTCGATGCTGAGTTCACAGCGTATATAATGCAAATATCAAGTGCAGATTTGCCGGATCCCTCGATATTATTTATGTTTATGGAAAAAATGTTAGTATCATAGTTACGGTATTATGGTGGCAGGTGGAATATCCGGATAAAACAATCGAAGTGGCGTGATCTTGAGAGAAAGGATACGGTAACGTTATCCAGAACACTTCGGGATGGAAGCACACTTGACCGACACGTTGTTGGCCGAAGAGAAGATGGGCCCTTCGTCGCCAGTGACGCGTCCCTCCGCATACCTCCGCATCGCTGCGTATGTGATTGCATTCAGTTCCTTCCTCTGGGGCTACGGCTTTACTGTGCTCAATGTGTGCATCGCCGAAAACGCCAAGGGCTCGATCCTCCTGGATTTCAATCTCACGGATGCGGAAATCGAACTCGCGTCGTCGCTTGTTTTGATCGGCGCGTGGTTCACTGCAGTTGCCACGGCCTCACTCGCGGACACGTACGGCCGACGCATCGTGCTCCTCGTCAACAACGTGTTGTTCATCGTGGGTGCGTTGTTGTGTGCACTGGCCACATCCAAGGACACGATCTACATTGGTCGTACAATCATTGGGTTTGCATGTGGCATCGTCACGAATGTAACCCCCATTCTCCTGGCCGAAATCGCCCCCGCGAACATTCGAGGCCAAATCACGACGTTGCATCAGTTGATGCTGACCATCGGCATATTGGGCTCATCCGTGTTGGGTTATGCGCTCGTCACGTCCGTGCCGTCTGGATGGCGCGTACGTTGTTGTAGTGTCATGGATCCTGATCCTTGTGTCTTACACCCTCTTGTAGTATGTCAATGCGTTCGTGGCCGTACCTGCGATTCTCCAATGCATGTTGACCCCGTGGATCCCTGAAAGCCCTCGCTGGCTTCTCAGTCGCAATCGTACCGACGACGTACGAACCAACCAACAAACTATTCCTCTGATTAACATTTGTAGGCTAAAATCCAACTCCGTTCGTTACGCCACATTGTGTACGAGACAGAACTTGACGACGAAATGCGGGAGATTCAACTGGATCTGTCGTCGACCCAAGATCATGACCAAAAGGCACTTTGACCTTCTACCAATAACGGTAATCTTTACGTCCATAAGTGCCTTGTAGAAAGCCACCGTGGTAAGCTTATGGCGGTACAAGAAGCCCATGCTGCTGGGGACGCTGCTCGTCTTCTTTCAGGCGTACGTCGTTCGCAGCCTTTCCTCGTCATCCTTAGGTTGTTGTTTGAGTGTGCATATCTATAGGATGACCGGCATCAACACGGTCATGTTGTATTCAAGTAAAATCTTCCATTTTGCCGGCGTGGACAACTCGATTATGGCCACGGCATCCGTGGGTACGATCAACGTGTTGGCGACGGTCGTGTCGGTGGTGCTGGTTGACACATGTGGCCGCAAGATCCTTCTGCTCCTCAGCAGCGGCCTCATGGCCGCAAGTTTGGGCGTGCTCAGCTACTCCCTGTTGACTTTGACGGGGAAAATCCAGGGGGTGCTGGCTGTCGTGTGTGTGCTCGTGTTTGTGGCTGGGTTTGCCATTGGGCTGGGAGCAGTCATTTGGTACGTAGGATAAAGGTGTATCGTATTCCAACAAGTCACGACGACTGTGACAGGGTTGTGCTCGGAGAACTCACCCCCAGCTCGATTCGATCTCGCGCCATGGGGTTCTTCATGGCCGTTAGCTACGCGTGCAATGTGTTTGTGGCTACGTGCACATTGGGCATCATTCAAGCCCTGGGCACGGGACCCGACGTGACCAAGAATGGCATTGCCAAGCTCTACTTGATCTGCTGGTACGGGTCGATTTTGCATATTGTGCGCGTGATGACGTTAACGTCTATTTTGATCTTTGGTAGTGGCCTGGCCGTGGCGTGCTTTTTGTTTATCTGGGGATACGTCCCGGAAACGAAGAATATAACGGTGTCGCAGATTGTGACGGAGCGCCAGGAACGAGGGCAACCCGACGACGACGACGACCAACGCGATGACCGTGCGTTGCTATCGGACCACTGACCATAAGGAGGGCCCTACCTGCTTAAGTGCCTAAAATTTAAACATTTTTGACTGGTAATTTGTATCTTTGAGTGAGCGTGCATTATAACGTAAAAGGCCAATTTACTGTAAAACAAGCGGTCCAATTTAAGGTGCACCATTTTAAGCTTAGTCTTTGTATACCCATTTGCATACTTTTTGGACGGTTACAGTGGTCGAAGGCATATTTATGCATATCTCAAGGTCCAGATGGTCTTTTTCAGTGAAACTTCGTAGGTTATCTATCATACTACTCTGGTCCACAAAAAGAGTCACATTATTTGTCTTGATTAAAGTATGAGGAGGAGGCCAAAAATATCTTGAAGTTTGTATTGAACTCTGACATTGTATGAACCAAAGACAGAAATATAATGACAAATCTATTTTATTAGAGGTGTTTAGCAAGTCGTTATTTTGATTCAAATTCCCAACT